TCATTATGCACTATTTAAAAAAACTTGCGTTTGCGGCCATACAAAATTTGGTTAACCCCAGAACTACTGCCTAGTAACCATGGAAGTCGCCGATAATACAGTCATGCAATATTGCAGCTAAATGAACGTATCTGTTAATAAACAGAATTCTCGTATCTGGGCATTAGAGAACCCTCGTGTCATGCATCAACGACTACTACATCCTCGTCGAGTCATAGTTTGGCGCGGTGTTTGGTATGGAGGTGTCTTCTTTGAAGCCGCTGCAGGTAATAATTCTGTTACTGTCACTGGCGTGAAATGGTGCAAAACTTTCTCGCTCCTCAAATCCAACAATTCAAATTGCAAAACATGTGGTACCAGCAGGACGGAGCAACTTGTCACACAGCTAGGGCAACAATAGGTCACCGGATTTAACGGCTCCTGACTTTTTTATGGAGATTTTTGATAAATAGGGCTTATGCCAACACCCTAATACTGTAGGACACCTGAAGAACAATATTACAATAAACCTACCAAATAGTGATGGAAGATGTACAAAGCAGTGAGTTATATATCGGCCCTGTATTTGCTAACCTGATGACAATTTAGAAAAAAGTTAGCTACACATGTATGACAAAAAAGGAAAGAGATTAAACGCCTAGATCAGGGGAGCCAGCGTCCTGGATCTGAATTAAAAACTATAAGCCAGTAAAATGAACTTAAAAAGTTTATTTGGCAATCGTCTCGGTGGACTATATCCTACTACAAGCCGCCGCTACAGACATACAGCTTCCAACAAGACGCTTCTAGAGAAAAGTTTGACCGACATTACTGCAATGATTTTCAACTTGGTGGCTAGGGAAATAACAGCGAACAGCCTTTTTCGAGCATGATTCTTATGAGTCATAGCCACCTTGTTAAAAATTATTGCAATATAGTCAGTTGAACTTTCCTTCAGAGGCGTCCCTTTGGGAGCTGTAGACCCCTCTGTAGGTAAAGCCTTTTCATAAAAGCTAACCCTAACATTCCCTTGTCTTAAATATGGATATAAGAGATCACCCCTTATTTTAATTTTATATAGCCATAGTAAAGGTTGATATTTTGAAATTCGACTCCCAAATTTTTGACCAAAAGCAGAATTAGATATATCGAAATGGACCTTTGTGTCATATGCCAGTGGTTTTCTATTTGGAATACTGAAATTTTTCTAGTCTAGGTTAGATATGTGATTTTATTTATTCTAGCTACTTCTATTAACTTTCAGGCTTATAATTAATAGGTTTTGCATTTGCTATTCTTGTAATTATTTTTGCAATCCACAAAGCAACAGGTATCGTGACAAGTTTTTAATTATAATTACTTTAATACGCCAATGTTTCCTTTTTCGTCCACATTGCGCGTCGTCCGAGGCGATCAATTTAGTTCCCCCACCCCCCTCCCCAACTCATTTCGCCAGAAATTTTTAGAGTGTAAAATATGAGAGTTAACACCATAACAGAGCAACTACTCGTCAAACAAAATATGAGCCTTGGTAAAGGAAAACTACTCATTCAAACACAAAATTTTCATAAACAGATTGATCGCTGATGATGTCACAGTAATCTGCCAAGACTAGCACGAAAATCACTTCTCAAAGATCAAAAACAATGGCGTTTACTTGAAAAAAGCGTAATAACAACGGTCATTTTCGGATCAGGTCAGCCACTTTGGATATCTGGGATATGCCATTTCTTACGCGTATGATGAGGAACCCGAACAAACAGATTAGTAGAAATTTGGAACACAACAAGAAAAGACACGCGGATAAAATTTATTAAAACTGCTGCTGTCCTTACACTACTATAATTACGAATAACAGCTACTAACTAAAGATAGAAACAAGCTGCGACGTATTTAAGGGCCGTATCGTCAGTCGATCCTACAATTGTACGGCGCGTTTATGGCCTCCTTGATTGTCATACTGCTTTCTCTCCTTTAAAAATTTCTTGATTACACTTGTCCCGTGTCAGCGTCAGCGCTCTCCTATTGTGAAGATTTGTTTTCCTTTTAAATTGTAGGAAATTTCATGCTGATAAAACGTTATATAACTCAAAACCAAGCACAATTTGATGCAAATTGATGTTTGTGACATAACCTCAAAATAGAGCGCTGACACGGAGAAGTAAAAAACTATGACAATCAAGGAGGCCATAAAGGCGCCGTACAATTGTACGGACGACTGACGATACGGGCCTAAGTGTGTACAAGACAAGATCGGATCCGAACAACAAATAAAAGAAGAAAACTACGTTTGGACAGCATCAATGATTAAATAGAGGAAAATCGAACATTGTAGGAAGGCCATCAGAGTAGACCGATAAACTGGTAAAAGTAGAAAACCTAGGGCCGTATCGTCCGTCGTTCATACAATAATTGTAGAACGCATTTATGGCCTCCTTGATTTTCTTAATATTTTCTCTCCTTCAGAAAGACTAGAGTATTTCTAGATTTCTATTGTTCCGTCTCAGCGTCAGCGCTCTCCTATTGTGAAGTTGTTTTTTTTTTAATTGTATGAAATTTCAGTCCGATAAAACAGACGGCAAAGATCAAAAGCATGAGCGGTTCGATGCGAACAGATATTTGTAACATAACCTCAAAATAGAGCTCCTTTCTGAAGGACAGGGATAATTTTAAAAATCAAGGAGGCCACAAAGGCGTCCTACAATAATTGTAGGAATGACTGACTATACGACCCTTAGAGCTGAAGGTGAAGAGAAAAGTGAGAATCGTGGCAGACAAAGCTGCCTAATACGGAAGGAGGTAGCTTTGATCCAGATGTGTGTTACCAAAGACTCGACCACATACAGTTTCCTTTTTTGCCAAGGGTCAGGCGAATTTGATTGACACTCGGTATCAGGATTGAACGCCCTCTAATGGGTTTTGAAAACACTTGCTATTTATTGTATTGATTTTCATATTCAGCTACGTTACTGGTAAGTCTTCCTGAACAGCTTTTAGCGGTAAAACTAGTTGCATATCTATCAGGGAGTTGTATAAGTCGATCGTTGCATCTCACTTCCCCTACTTACATAGGCGGGATCAGCGAGAAGGTTTTTAACTGGCCTTCCCTAATCAGACCTCCTGGTTCCAAAATTTTTCCGCCCAGCTGATGCAAACTATATAATAAATAAGGTCGAATATCACTCGATTAAGTCATTTTACTTTTCACGCCTACTGGCGGGGAAGTATTGCAATCGCGAAAATGTTACAAAATAGTATATGCTTTTTGGTTTACATGACATGTACATTACCAAAAAACGTGTCACCTATTTCCGTTTGTCTACCTGCCTGTCTGCCGGTCTGTTGGTCCTGTCCGCTAATCCTTTAACTGCCTATACCTTTAGGAATGCTGCTCGGATATTGATGAAATTTTTACAGAATGTTACTACTATGCCCAGAACCAAAATTTTTCGAAAATCGATCCAAAGGAAGCAGAGGAAAAGGCCAACAATGAAAAAAAAGGAATTAAAACTTCCCAAACTTCGTTTTTTCATTATTCAGAGGATTCTGATCATTTTTGAAAAAAAATTCAGAGGTAAAAAATTTGGGGGTGGAGGTTGTGGGGGATAAAACTCAATTTCTTTTATTATACATCTCTGAACCTTGGTAATTCTATGCGCCTATTAGATAGGATAATTATTTCTCCATATATTAGGCCTTAAAAATGCCACGTGTGACCAAGTCTGGAAGCGGGGATAGGCGACGTTGCCAGATTGACCACCGGTAGGATGCAAAAAAAATGTCTATGGACTAATGGTATGGACCTGTTTGATTGACTTTTTCCTTAGTTGGTCTATTTTGTGCTAAACATAACCCTTTATGCCATTGACGCCATTTTTTACTCCCTCCTGTGAATGTATCCATATAATTTAGCTCTGTTATCTAACAACTTGGTTGCCCTGTATCTCGACCACTAGTCAGGGAGAGAGCCTTAGAGCAACACTTCTGTGAATGAGAACCTGCCGAATTGATAGATCATAAGGTGGTAATGAAATGTGATAATGGAAGCAATGTCCAGCAACTCTGTGTTTGGTCAGAAATGGGGAGTCGAATTTCAAAATACCAACATTTAAGTTAGCCTTATAGAATGAACTCGTAGATTCATATTTAAAACAAGAACAGACATATAAAATATGTCTACACCTCGCAAATGGAGGCCTCTGGAGGCAAGTTCAACCGACGTTATTGCAATGATCCTTTTTTTTATACTCTAACTACCACGAAGGCCTAAGGCCTAAACACCCATTGGGTACCGTGGGGCTATAGGGAGATACATGGGAAAAGAGGACGCCACACGGACTCTGGCGAGGGAACACGTGTGCATGCAACATGCACACATTCTGGCTCCGCCTACGAGAACCGCCGGGTGGTACCTCCGCGTTCGACAGTCAGAGACCATCTACCACCTACGGACAATCACAACATCCATAGCCAAGAGAAAAATTTCTCCTGGGACTGAACCCGCACAGTGCACGGCGACTGATCAGGAGACCGAAGAGTCTACTACTGCGGCCACCGCTGCTGCCTTAACAAGGTGGATATAATTAATAGTAAGAATTGCGTTTAGACAGTCTTTTTAATATTATTCCCAAAGCCTCCAAGTTCAAAGTTATGGCAGTAATGTCAGTTTAACTTGTTACAGCGTCCTTTCCGAAGTTGTATAACTGTAGGGTCGGCATGTAGTTGAGTATAATCCCCGGGCCTTTTTCTTAGAAAATGGGCTAAATTGTCAACGGATTACTTCATGTCATAAAAGAATCATGGACATTTTATGAAATCTGTTGAAGATATGTCAAAGTATGTTGACTCTATATCTTTTCGATTGATATTCTGTATTATAGTTATAGACGTTAATAGACAACAGAATTGCGTTGGAAGCACTGAGTCACCCTACTTTACGCAATTCATTCTGAACAAAAATGTTGTTAACTGGTACGCATAAAATGAGAAATAAAGGTGTTATGTGTAATTTCAGTATATTGGATTCTTTCAAACCACAAAACTAAAATGCAATATTCTTTTTATATGCGCCTTTATTATCAAGTAGGCAATTTCAGACTAATACAGATGGATAAAAAAATTATTTTTCTTCAAACTATTCGCCATACATCAATGCAGGTAGATCAATGTCTGGCCAATCTTCTTGCACCTGAATCTCGTCTGGTTCATCATCCACATACAGCTGGCGGCTTCTTCCTCCCCTATGGAAGCGTGATCTGTGAATTATTGTTACGGGAACTGATCCAACTTCGTAGGGACCGACCTCTAGTGCTGGAAAAATCAAATTATACGAGTATATGTTACGGCTAATTGCTGCAATATGTTACATTTTGTAACAGATGTGATAATATCGCATTCGTTGGAAAAAGTTTCTAACCTGATTTAATTTCCATTAATCAATTTTCGCTCCAGGCAAAATTATGTTTGAGTTTTTTTTAGATCATCTTGAATCAAAAGGTCTTTAGTAACTGTGACCCATAGCGTTTTAGTAAGAATCAAATGACAACCGTGGGCATGTCCGAAATAAGGAAACAGGGGCAGAAATAAGACCGACGTTTCTGCTTATTGGCTTCATCAGGCCCGAATGAATGTGCATCGAAAACACCGAAGTGAGAACATATAGCCATCATATTGTGATACGGATGTATCCTGAAGGAAAAAAGGAATAGACAGTGTATACGAGGTGTCGACCAACCAGCTATAGCTATCTGCCGCGGTACTTTAAACACATGAGTAAATACAAAGAAAGACAATTAGTCTTGCGGAAACTTATGTAAATAAAAAACAAAGAACAATCGTGGGCATGACCGCAATAAAGGAACAGGGGCATATATAATAGGATTGGTAACCCGAGCGATGTTCGTTTCTGCTTGTTGGCTTCATATGCCCATCAAATCTGGATCGAATGTAACCTGAATGAAAACAATGACGGAAACTAAAATACAACTAGAACACCTCGTGTTAACGAAGTATTAACCAAGGTCGCCACGAAGGCCTCTTATTTCTGCTTCTGATCCTTTATCGCGGATTTGCCCAGGATCGTCCTTTGTTTTTTCTTTTTTTTCTTTTTTTCATCGCAGTTCTCGCAAAATTACTTTTCTTCCCTTATTACGAACAACTCGCCCTGTGAACAAAATCAAAATCATGTTTAGACCTTAAAAAATATACTTTTGAAAACCAAATACCCAAAATTTAGTTCAAGGCAAGTCAAAATTTCACATGAAATACTAACATAGAACAACTACTTTTTCTCGCTTGTACTTTGTTCCTTTCTTTCTCCCCCTCCCCTCTCCCCTACAACTTGTCTCTTTTCTGGGCCACGAAACATGACAGACTAACATCAGACTCTGACGACACTGACATTACAATGATTATGACCTAAAGGCTAAGGTACTCCGGACCGCCTTGAGAAGCAACGACGAGTAGCTATGAACAATTCAATAACCCGATCTAAAGCAAAGTGAGACTCATCACTTATTTGACACCTGGCAGGGTTAAAAACAGTAGTTTTTAAGCGAAGCATTTGAAATGAATTTTCAGGGTTATTCAGATTTCAAACCGTTTATGACTTGAAAACGGACAACTTTACATAAAAGTTGCTGAGAGCCTTCTTTTCAAAATGATCCATAATTAATCGGCTTAAAATCTAGCGTTCAACAAGCAACAAATAAGCGTCATATCTCACTAGACCCCCTTGTAATTTTCCAAACCCCTTGAACCTACAGAACGGTGTCGGCAGATGGGTTACTGGTAGTGTTTGGTATAACGCCAATCGATTTTGTTATGGAAAGGGCGCCGCAGCTGGAAACGACGAAAGGAAAGCACCGTCTGTTAGATGGCAGGAGAGGTGCGATGCAACTGGTTATGGCGTATGGGCTAAGAGAGGCTCATTCTTCTTCTTCTTCTTTTCTTCTCTCAATAGTCCTTTTTTCTAGATGTAACAGGCTTTTTGAATGAATCATATTCATTTAACTTTCGAGTCAGTTCTAAGAAATACCTGGCCTTCTTTCGAGAAATTTATCAAAATACATGTCTGCAATGTTTTTCGTATTTTTGTATCACAAAATCTAGCACGTCTGTATGTCAAACTTTTGTTAGTTGTTATAATGATCGCCTGGCATATTTGACGATAATAAAGCAATATTTATAATGCACAATAATAGCAATACTCGGTGAAAGGTATTTAGCAGTTGTTTGCAACCTACAAACCCATTTTCCTCATAAGAAAATAAATGTATCATGTGATACATTGTTGAATTCGTATAAAAAAAGCTATTAGATACAGGGTGTACTTTTTTCGGACTATATAAAAAAATAAAGTTGATGGTCTGTCAAAAACGAATTGTCGGGCACAAAATTTAAAAGCCCCATCAGGTAGTGAGGATTCTCCTAATAGTATAGATAGAGAATTGTTTTCGATATATGTCTCCATCTGCTATCTGGGCTCAGCGCCCTGTGTAACGATCTCTCTGACTGTTCTGCTTGTGTAAGGCAGGGAAAGAATGTCTATGAATTAATTGTATGGGCTTGTTTGACTGACTTGATCGGATTAATTTTCTATTGTACATGTTCGTAACTATCTTTTTTCTCAGATAGCTTAACTTGTGCTGAACTTAATCCTTAATAAACTGATGATGGCGTCGCATTGAAAGTGCGGATTCAACCACCTTGACGCCATTTTTTTCTGGATACTTACGTGGTTCTGGACGTCCTTCACATATTACTTGGTCATTCTCGACAATCCGTATGATTTCTGGAATTACTTCTTGATTATCGAACTTCAACTTATATAGCAATCCGTCGCGCAAGATCTGCGCTCCAGACCTCTTCATTGATATGTTCACTTTCTAAAAAAGAATAAATGTAATAATAATTTTGGTAATAGTAATTATGTTATTTGTTCCCAATGTAACAAATACATGGATAAACTAATCAGTAATTTTTATTGCGCAGCCTCTCAATCTGGACTGCCTTCTTCTCTGCATTCATGTCACTGCCAAGCCGAATTTATTAGGCGTTAAAGTAACTAACGCTTAAGGATGAACTTGATATTGAAATATGCATTTTGAGAGCTCATATTTTGTTAGCAGTGAAATTACTGTTAACCTACAATTTGAAAGCTGGGCCTCAGTTTGATATTTACAAAATTTTGGTCAGAAAGATTAATCTTTCATCTTCGAACTATCAGACCTGTACAGGCTGAATCTTTAACTGTAAATAGCACAATACATAATAATAAACCAGTATACAGTGTGTCCCAGATTCGCTTCTCTATACATTTGGTTTTGGAAATATTGGTGAAAAACCGAAAATTTTGTTTTTTAACAGCTGTCAAAATGTGAAATTCTTCGGGCACTTTTTTTGAGGCAAATAAGATAGCATGTATGACGCGTTCCAATCGTCTTTTGTTTTCCCGCAACCTGCTTCAACTTTCATTTTTCTTATGGCCACCATATTGGATTTTTCAATTTTTGAAAAGAGCGTCAAATTTCCAGCCTAGTGATGTCTCTCAACTGCATAAGTATCATCGAAATATCATCAAATTTTATGTATTAATTTTTTTCTAAGGTCATGATTTATTTGTCAAAAAAGAAAATTAGGTAATAAGTAACGCATTTTTTTATCTAGGAGGCTCTGACTTTGACGTTAAATAATTCAAAGTATTGAAGTCGAATTTTAAAAGCCAAGTTTGTACGAAAAACAGTCACCAATTCTCAAAAATATCTGGATGCAAATGGACGTTATTTTGCAAATCTGTAAATTAGCATCCACCTACATAATTAGATTTTACATTTCATTAAAATTTAACATGCTTGTGTGTTCAAGTGTAAAATAAATTTACGACGATTTTTCTGACTTGCTTTTTCAACACACTCATAGCTAGGAATTTTACATTTGACTTGTTGAGAAGTCGATATTAACGTTGATATTCTATTGAAAATTCAAGGCGGTCATGTGTTTTTTATGCCTTAGCCTTACTCATTAATGCTTTTTTCTGACAAATAAATCATGGCCTCCTTAGAAAGACACTAATACATAACACTACGTGTGTTGATATTTCGATGATGCTCCAATCTTTTATGCACTTGTGAGACATCACTAGACTGGAAATTGTACACTCTTTTCAAGAATCAGAAATCCAATATAGCGGCCATAAGAAAAATTAAAGTTGAGGCGGGTTGCTGGGAAACAAAAGACGGTTGAGACATGTCATACATGCTATCTTATTTTTCTTAAAAAAATGTCCGCCGATATTTCCAAAACCAATAAACCGATCGTCAGTCTGAAGTCGGCTGTCGAAAGCACAAGGTTTCCTCTAAAACTTCCTTTTCATAAAAAGGTCATTTATAACTAATATATAAACAAAATGAATAGTTTACGAAAACCAGTAATGTAATATCCGAGAGATTACCCAAATATTCAGAAATACCTGCCAAAATCAGAAGATACTTACTGGGTTTGGAACACGTTGAGCGAACACTAGTGTAATTGCTAATATAACAGCTCGCTCATTCTCATATGGAAGTTTGATCTCTCCTGAGATTTCACCATTTTTGTACTTGTATAAGACTCTTGGAGCACATATGCTTCCTTGTGGAACGTAATAGAGTGCTGAGCTCAGTGGGAATGCCAGACAACATAAAAGTTTTACTAACATTGTTGACAATCACCTAGAAAATGATGAAAGTGAGGACCCTAAGAAATATTTTTTAAACCGTGGGCTTTTTTCATTTTCTTGAATAATAAGTTTTTCCCGTTTCTCGTGGAAAGGATCATGCGGAGAAAGGCATATAACAAATAGAAGAGGATCTACATAAAAATAAGAAAGGATCATGCGGAGAAAGGCATATAATAAATAGAAAAGATAATGGGCAACTCTGTAAAAATAAGGAAAGTGGACCAAAATTGAATGCACTTATGTAACTACAAAAGTAACACATGCCCATTTAACCAGATACGGGTGAAACCTGAGAAAACGAAAATGGAGAGGGAACAAAACAACACACAAGTCCACTTTCCACCTTTTTGCGTATTTGCTCATTATTTTTTTCTATTTGTTATATATCTTTTCGCGTGTGACCCTTTAACTCTTTTTTTAAGATTCTTCGTGCTCGGAGTACCGCAGCCATAACCAGCCGCGTGGTTGTGGTTAGATGTCGCCTTGAATATTCGAGGTCTTTTGGCCATTTACACCACAATGTATAGGTTGGCTCTTGTTGGTAGCTTCGTGTATTGCTCCCTCTCCACTTTCGTTTCCTCGTGTTCCACTCGTATCCGAATATATGGGCATGTGTGTCTGTTTTTGTAATTACATATGCCTGATGAAGCCAGAAATACATACTGCTCGGGTTACCTACCCCTTTTTTGTCTGCTCGATTTCACCTTTCTCCTTTTTGTTGAATTGTTCATTTAATTTCTTAATTTCGCAGAAAGTAGTTATTTTAATATTGCGTTAATGCCGCCATTGGAATCAATGGTTTTAAAAAATTATTCTGCGTTCGTCCTATTGTGGTCAAATTGGTCTCTTATGCAAATTATGTCACAATAGAGTTCTTCTTACCTGAAACGTGAGAGTCGCACGACAAATGTGGTAGGACAATATTTGATTTATGCTTAAAGAAATATGAAGCAATCATGAATGTATTGGCGACATAATGGCAGATAACGAAACAATTCGCAATAACAATCACTTATTGCTTTTCAAGTCTAAACTAAAAAATATGTGCTGCGATATGAAACTACCTATTATTGTATTGAAAATAGTACTCTGAAACTTGCTCGTGTTTGCTACTATAGTTCTATAGTTCTAGCTGTGTAATAATTGTGACTTCGTTCAACACCTTATTTTTAATGTTGCGTCAGAAAACAAATGACAGGTATTCTTCAAATGAAGTATGACATCTTAATATCACCTGGACTTTTAACCATCAGATGCACACATATCGGGGCTTCGTTCCTCAATTGTTACAGGGTGTTCTTTGTACTACCTATGGACAATCACAACATCCATAACCAAGATAAAAATTTCTCCTGAGACGGGACTCGAACCCGCACAGCGCACGGCGACTGATCAGGAGACCGAAGAGTCTACTACTGCGGCCACCGCTGCTGCCTATGCTTATATGATGAAAACTTCATGAAAACATGGTTCCTAAGATGCTTCACTACCTAAGTACAGGGTTATGGAGCTTAATTTTTAAATATTCTATAAAATATATACTCGTATCTAGGGTGTTGGTGGGGAAACTGGCTCAAGATTTTACATAATCATCTAAGCACGTCATAAGCCATACGTTTTTTGGCCCTTACTAAATTAGGCGCGTAGCAACTGGGGTACATCTGCCCCTAATAGAAATTATTCTCCACGCCACTAACCTTTTCGAAAAAATAAGTGAATTTATCAAAATTAGATTCAATTCGGCACAAATTGTCTTTAGAGAATTTTTTTTCAAATCACTCCTTTTGAAGATATTTAGGTGTGACGGTCGAAATCCTAATATTTTCTTATAAAAGCGCTTAGCCGAGAGCTTAGCCTCCACTGTTTTTAAAACTCTGTGAAATTATAATGTTGCACTATACTATAACGCATCTGAAGGAAGCTATTGTACATCATTACAACTTTATTTGATTAATATGCGTGTCTTGTCCTCTTAATCAGTTGCGTAGAAACTCACTATTCATTCAACTTTTCGTATTCATCTAAAATCACAACTAAAGTCTATTTATCCAAGAAAGACATTAAACCAAAACAATAATCAACGGGTGTACAGTGGGTGACTGGTCCGGCCAGGAAGGTGGAGTGGGAGACGACACGGCGGTGCATGAAGCCTGGCCAGCCTTGCAACATGCTCGGGATTCTGAAGTTTGATCACGTGAAGTATGCGTGAATATTTTTGGGTTTAGTTTCTTTCTTCGACAAATGGACTAACATATAATAAATGTGGAACCAATTAATTCAAGTAAAGTTATTATTATAAAACCTCTGAAATTATCGGACCCTTCTTTCGCAAGTATGAGAGAATGTCCATGTCCTTTTCCATCCTCATAGTTCATGAAGGCTTAAGTTCACAAATTAAACCTTCCGAGTACAAAAGTTAGTTACGAACATGTACAACAGAAAAATTAAATGCATCATGTCAGTCAAAAGGGGTCATATAATTAGTTCATAGACATTCTTTCCTTGCCCTGCTGGTAGTCCCATCCATCAGGCTATGTTCCCATATCTGACAGCAAGACGCGGCAGCGCCCACTGCGGCACCGCTGCAGTACTGGCAGAGTCCTTAATCAGACCGGCATATCTGCCGGTGAATCCAGAAAGCAGAAGCAGAGATATCGAAAACACGTCTCTATCCTCAATTAAGTTTTCACGGCGTTCTTTATGTGTGAAATATATCTAATAAGTTAGTAGAATTATCGGGGATGAAGGCGTATGAATATACAAATATCAAAAAAAAAAGATATACCCAACCCCACACCTCACAACTGATCGGGAGCGTCTAAAACGTTAAGAAACGGAGGTTGAGCGATTTTCATTTGTTTGTGTTTCCACCCCAGGCTCCAGCTCTACTGAACAGATTATCGAAAACGCCTTTATGGCCTCCTTGATTTTCATTGTTTTCTACTGTTTCGTGTCAGCGCTCTATTTTGAGGTTATGTTACAAACATCTATTTGCATCAACTTGTTCATGGTTTCGATTTATGTCATCTGTTTTATCAGAATGAAATTTTCTTCAATTCAAAAAAGATTAATGCTTTACAATGTTAAAGCGCTGACGGCACGGAATAGTATAAATCTAGAAACACCCCAGGCTTTATGGAGGAGAGAAAAGACTATGAAAATCAAGGAGGCCATAAAAGCATCCTACAATTGTAGGAACGGCTGACGATACAGCTCTTAGTACGTCCGAAATATATTAAAAGTTCTATCTACGACCTGTTGGGGGTTGGGATATGTCAAAATTCCAGAATGGCAGTTGAAGTAAACATAAATAAATTGCAACAAATAAATACTGAACAACGAATTCGAATAGATTAGAATTCAAGCAAATATGTTTTTGTTGCATTTTTGTGTTGTGCTTTTTACTCATTTGACTACTAATGCCTACCAAAGTGACAGTGTTGTATCAACATAATAATAATAATAATAGTACTTATCGGTAGAAACATCTGCTTGTGTCGCTCTTCGCAAATTATGTAAGAAGCATCATGTCATGGAATCATCTAAGACCACAATTATCAGCAAACACTCGCACTTTTGATAAATAACACTAAATATAGGAATTTAATCACTGAACTGTAAAAAAATGACCTATGTCAAGTGCACACCTCACTACAGACTATGAGCATTATAAGGCAACCTTAACTGGATCCTTCTACCTAGTCTGAATTCTTTGATCGGTCAATTTAAGGATGGCGGACAATATATTTATTTTACCGGCATAGGACGTAAAGAAGCCAGGTGGGCTAAAAACTAGGATTTGTCTCTGGAACAACTTATATGCTTTGTTCAGATCATTTTAAGAACCGTTCTGTGACGATCACGCACTTGTGCGCTTAGGGAAAGATGTTCCAGCGCTGTTCGTTATCCTAACAGAATGATTCTGTGTTTTTTTCTTTTGACCAGTTTTGGCATCGTTGTGGAACGGTTTTGTTGCAGTTAATGAGCATAAAGGCTTATTGAATGATATTCGATCCATACTGGTACCATATCAGAACTCAAAGTTAGAACAAAACTATAACGTTCACTCTGCTACCAGGCCGTAGACAAATAATGCTTGAATTCAAAATTGCAGGTGGTGTTGACCGATTAAGATGAAGGATCGAGGTAACACAAGAAAACACCCTAATAAAAACTAGAACCGTTTATTTGAAAAAGGATAATAACCAGTCAACGTATTTACTGGCGTCAGTGAATATAACGTAATTACTCAAATCGCAGTGTCTAGTGGCGTGCTCTGACACAGAAATGGACACTATACCTCTCAGCATCCAGCGGCCATTTTGTTGTAGTGCGAAGGCACTTCCGCTGTCCCCGTTGCATGGTCCGGAACCGTTTCTAAAACCTGTGAAATAGACAAAGTGATATTGTAGTTCTTTACGCGCTTTTTGGCAGTTACGTCATGAACGCCACACGCAATAAGCAAGCAAATCCACTAACTGTATCATGTGCGGGGCTGAAGCTCCATAGGAAAAATGTACGCTGGGCAAACCGATTTTAAACGCAGCTGCTCTTGAACACATGAGTTGGTTAATAGAGTACAATTGCTTTTACTCACTTTTTCAAAATACTACAATAATTTTCGCAAAAACAATTGATATTGTCCGTTAGTTGAAATTTCAGGAACAGGCCAGAGAAGTTTGAATGTTTGTAACTGTCCCAAAATTAAGGTGATTTTTAAGCTTCGGGAAAGTCACAATGGCTCAAGTCAGGCGAATAAGGAGGCTGAATAGTCACATGCATTTTTGTACTGGCTAAGAACTCGTTTATTGACATAGCTATGTAACACCCAGTTGTTCTTGATCTTATGAACGGTGATGTGGGTCAAATTTAATTCTGTCATTCTAACAGTCAACCGACGATCTAAACGCACAAGATCCCGGATTCTGCCGATATTTTCATCGGTTTTTGAAGATGAAGGCCTTTCACATCGTGGTTCATCTTCAATCTACTCTCTCCCTTCCGAAAATGACTTAAACCACCGAAAAACCTGGGCTCTTGACTCCGTTGGCCTACTGTGGCTTAGCACTGTGCCCAAGTCTGAAGAAATAACTAATAGGTAGCAAACCGTTGCTCGAAATTGATGTCATTCATTTTTAGAATAGGAAAAACTGTTTCTCAGAAAAAAACGCTGCACATAACCAAATGACTCGAACAAGTTCAAACTGCGCCAGTGTTTCCAGATCGAACGCTACGTCGCCATTCCTTCATTCACAGACCTCGTTCGTTGTGAATCTTACACAAAAGTACCCATAGGCCCAAAGTTTTTAAACGAGTAGTTTCCGAGGTACAGAGCGCCCGAGTTCGGTTCTCGGCACACAGGGTGTCATTAGTTAATTTTTATACATTTCCATGTATTTCACCACATATTTGGACAAACCTAAATGCTTACACGTTTTGTCGAGTTTTGGTATACGGTTTGATCATAAAACATATAAGGTGAAGTAAGTGGTATCTCGACTACTTCAATAGTAAGAACGGAAAACTTGCGTTTTTACACGGATTCCCATAAAACCTAAGCCGTTCAACTTTTATTGAAGCCGTTATGTTATATTCTCTGATCATAGGTAAAGCGTTATTCACTCATTACGGTCACTTTTGTATCTCAATCGGTACACAGTGCTCTATGTATATAGAGTGTTGATATGGGAGTTAGCTGTATCTCATATAAATTCAGCAACAATGCAATGTGGAGGACACTTACCAGCGCAAAACGTCCTTCCAGTGACCTGTGTGGCAAAAATAGCTGAACTGCTTAGGCAGTCTTCGTGGCTAACAACTGGCAGGCTCACTTGTCTAGGTTCTGAGGTGGTTATGTTCCCATTTTCATCCATTCCCCATCCTACCACAGTGCCCAGTTTTCCTAGAACACATAGTAAAGAAAAATGGCTTATACAGGGTAAACCAAATTTGACTGACGGCTTAAGTTCAATGCGTACGACTGTTAAGCGCGAGAAGTATGTATCAACACATGTTAGAAAGAGAGAGAAGCCGGCTGAAGGACGAAGATCGTCACCAGACTGCCTAGCGACGGTGACGCAGAAGGTCGTGCAATCTGCCGCGTTGCCAATATGTTACACCAAAAAATGTTCGCACAGGTTTCTACAATAGGTTGGGTTACTGTCAAACCTAAGAAGGAGGTCTATTCGAATATTTAACTTAATATTTTGTTTTCATTTTGATTAGAATTATACTAAGTGACATATAAATCCGAGCACCCAGTTTAAATGGTTTTATTTTAATAAAATTTTGTATAAGTACTTAATGAAGCATAATAAGTAAATGATAAAAATATCAAAATGATTGCACTGCTTTAAAGCCCTTTGACCTTTAATACTGTGTGGATGCACCCTGATGTGCTACGCATTCTCCAACGCGCCTAGGCATGCTTCTGATCAGGTGGTCAACGTCCTCCTGTGGTATCTCATTCCAGGCAACCACCAACTCCTCTCGAAGTGCTTCTAGAGTCGGAGGAGGACGTTGCAAATTGAGCAATCTCCTACCCATCATATCCCACACGTGCTCAATTGGGAATAAGTCGGGAGATCTTGGTGGCCATGGTAACAATGTGACATCATTATGTTGAAAGAAGTCTATTGTGACTATTGCAACATGTGGTCGGGCATTATCTTGTTGGAAAGTTGGATCTGCCAGGGTGTCAAGATGGGGTTCTAGAACTTCGTGGATAGAACGCTGCGCGTTCATGTTACCTCTGATGAAGATTTAAGGTGATCTGGAACCATAAGCTATAGCACCCCAAACCATAACTCCAACAGTGTGATGAACATGTCTTTCAACAAAAAACTGTGGATTCCTCCTTTCACCACGTCGCCTTCTAACTCTGGCACGACCATCGTGCATGCCTAAACAAAATCGAGACTCGTCACTAAAGACAATACTGTTTCATTCCTGATCCCAGAGTGACCGTTGTCTGCACCACTCAAGACGATTACGTCGGTGTTCTCGAGTTAAAGGGACGACCCAGTGTGGCCGGTATGAAAACAAGCCAAAACTTCTCATTCGTCGGTAGACACTTCGCATGCCAATAGGTCTTCCGTGTTCTGCAAACCATTCATTTGCAATGGACCTGGTAGTGGAGAAACGGTCCCTTAAGGCCAATAATCTTAGGCGGCGATCTTCACGGTCTGTTGTTCTACGGCGGCGTCCAGTGCCCCTTGCGCTTTGCGTACGGCCTTCTCGAAGCCATGCCTGACAACACCTAACCACAGTGTCTACACTTCTTTGCACTCTAACTGCAATTGCCCGAAAAGAAGGTCCAGCTTCCCGAAGTCCCACTATACGGCCCCTATCAAACTCACTAAGTTGACGAAATCGTACAGGTCTCCGTACTCTAGGCATCGTAACCGATCGTAAAGGATGTCAAGAACCAAAATTCGTCAACGTTGATTCTTTACTGCGGCTGAAATATTCATTTTTAGAGCGTTAGTGAATTAAAAAAAAAGCAGTATAAAAACCGGAATGTCCAACTGATAAGGCTGAAAATTTTTTCACTTGTTATATAAGATAAGTACATTCACCAACTTTTATTAAAATAAAACCATTTAAACTAGGTGTTCGGATTTATATGTCACTTAGTATATTAATTCCAATTTTGATGCGACTTAGTGCTTAATACATCCTGAGTTATTATTACATTTTGAGACTGCGAGGGGTACGAAGATGTAACAAATACCATCACGCGAAACAAATTATCACTGCCTGCGTCTACGCAGGTAAAAACCATTTGGAAACAAGGAGCGCTCATCTATAATCATGGAGGTGGAAACTTTGCCTTGTACGAGATGCAGTGTTGCCAATGATGAAATCGTACAGAATATGTGCCGATCCCGACCTAAAATGACAATTCACAATTCCAAAAATGTTTACGCTCAAAACAAAACCATTATTTGGGCGTAAAGAATAAACTAATGCATATTTTCAACATGCATCTTAATTCAAGGAATTGGTGTAGCATAATGAGAAGGCTGCCGATTGCCGCGTCAGCGCTGCTGGGCAAAGCGGTGATGAGCTTCGCTATCCAACCGGCTTCTATCTCTTTCTAGCATGTGTGACCTATACACAATTCTCTCTCGGACACATTGAACTCAAGCCGTCTGACAAATTTGTATAGAATATTTCGAGGACCCTTTAACATGGATCTGTTAAAAAAATTCGTTTTATATAGATATACAAGTTAAAATTTAGGTCGTATTATGTTTATACTTCATTATACATGGTGTCCAAATAGTGTGTCAAAGCTCAATATCTTCGTTACTATTATAGATGCAGAAAAAAGTTGAAAACAAAAGTTGTAGGCAGAGCTAAGGGCTACAACCTAAAACTCTTCAGCTATACAGAGTGTCCCATAAATTGGTGGCAATATATACTTGTATTTCTTTTAATTGAACAGGCTAATTTCTGTTAATTGTTAGAAGCGCCTTTTCTTGACCATTCCGCCAATGCAAGGTTTCGGGAGTTTGTACTGGGTATTTCGGAATATATAGTCAATTTTTCGTTAAAATCATTGTACATTTGACTGCCCGTATCTTAAACACACCTTAGATAAAATCTGTTTAATTATACTGAGTGGTAGAAGCAGTGGTAGACATTCATATTTAATGTTTTTTACGTACCTGCTTCATCCGAGGCATACAGGGAGAGTCAAAACGGAAATATGTAATTTTCACAAAAATGTACTATGATTTTAACGAAAAAATGGCCATATATTTCGAAATACCCAGTACAAACCCCTGAAATCATATATTGGCAGAATGGCCAAGGAAATGCGAATTTAAAAATCAACATAAGTATAGGGTGTTCCATTCAAAAAAATACAAGTTTATATTGCCACTAAGTCTCGGGACACCCTGTATAGCTAAAATTAATGATGATATTGAGCTTTGACACACTACTTGGACAGTTTGGACAGGCTGTATATGATTCCCTAGGGCTCCCCAAAGTTCCTGTACTATTTTTCTAAAGCAAATTCCAACATATGCATTACCCGCTAAAATTACAGAGACAGACTGTAGTAAGTTCAGATATTGATAAACCACATTAAGAGAAATCGAATAACTCTTACCTACAACAACTTCCAAGTTTGTCGGCCCACTCCACAAGCAAATAGGCCTAATGGTTGTAGTAAACTCAATCCTCTCGATCAATTCCAACACTGCAATGTCCGCATCGCTATGCGAGGAAATGTAATCGGGATGCACCGTGATAGACTTGGGAGCGATAATCTTCTCCCCGGGACTGTACGTCCATTCTTGGATGTTCAGCTTTCCCAGTTTCACCAGCAGGTCTTTAGCGTCCAGGGTTTCGTCGTAACCGCGGTTTTTCCTTTTCACGCAATGGGCAGCTGTAGGAAGAAAAGTTGGACTGAGTAAGATCTTTGTAATCATAACCAACCATATACAACGTTGCTTCGTGCTTTTCAGCAACTGTAAGTACGGTATAGGTCTAGTCATTGGATACAGACAACGAAAAACGAACCAGCGGATAAAAAAGACCGTCTCGTAGGGCACAGGTCACCTATTATATTAAATGTTGAAGAATGCTTTATTGACGGTCTTTTTCAAGGCACCAGTAAGAATATTTATGGAAATCAAGATCTACTGTCATTTTATTGTCACATTATTTTCATCAACTTGCATTTTAGCAGTCGAATTGTTAGTGAAGCCTTTTTTCTACATAATATGTGTTTTTTTTTATCGGCTGGGAAAACATAGGAATGAAAAAACGACATAATTGCAGCATAATTTTCAGGAGCTATATTCAGCAAATTAGCACATCGGTACATACCTGTTACCACATGAAGTTGAGAAATGAGCGTAGCACTGCATTTGTACGAAACAGTGTATGATACTGCAGAGGAATTAGCCCAAAATAACGCGGCCAACCAAGGATAGGCCCCTTTTTGAACACTGCCTCCATGGAAGACTAGCTGGTTGATTGTGACTGCTCTGCCACAAGTGTCCTCGAACGGTATTGTGTCTGCATTTATTTTTGGCATCACACCAATCTGTAATGTAATAATATAATATAGAGTGGTATTGATGAACAGTGTGTTCGTCAAGCTACACAATGTTCATGTGACAATAAACAAATTTTCCCAGTAACACATATACCAAGTCTGAGATAACAGTTCCAAAAAATCTGCATGGACCAGTCCAGCCCAGTGTGAAATTAGGTGCCGCGCGTGTAGGTTAACCTACCTCTTTTTTTTCTTGGGGGGAAATCACCAAGAGATACCTGAGACCGGATATCTAGTATCCGCATTCAGGTTATGCCACCTGGGCTACAACCCCCTCCCCCACGCTCATGCTGGGATTCGTCTGCGCTTACTACCAGCATGACTGTGTCTCACACATGTCTTCGTTTCCTCAGCGGTTTCTGCAGTAAAATTTCCATGTATATGTCCTAGGATTTTGGGCTGTCCGTTCTTCTTTCATCCTTGTCTTTAATGGATAGTATTTCCCTGATGAATCTTTGTATTTGTATCCACGATTGGTTGTTCGCCATCATGGTGCTGGTCAGATTACTCTCCGTCATAGCGTGTCCTAGGCTAACAATGACTTGTGCCCTTTGTTGCTCCCATATGTTGCACTCGAAGAGAGTGTGTGCAACTGTGTCTTTTTTGACAGTACATGCATTCATCGCTTTCTGATTTCTGTATTCTCTTCGTGCATACTCGAAAAGTACCATGCTGCATTAGTGCCTGCGTTAAGTGGTAATCCAGTCGCCTGTGCTTGCAAGCAATCCACTTCCCGATGTCAGGTATTATTTTTTTTGTCCACTGAGCCACGTCCTCCGTTAAGTGCCACTCGTCCTGCCATTTACTGATGGTGACCTCGCGCTCCTCCCTTCTGGCCCTCGCGGTTCTCCCATCTTCCCGGTGGTGCAGCCTCACTCTTTCTTCCACAACCAAGTGGATCGGTGCTATCCCTGTAATAATCTGTAAGGCCTTCGTGGAGACGGTCTTGTAAGCCCTCGCCACCCTCAGCAGCATCTTCCTTTGCACTCCGATGAACATGTGCCTGTATCTAGTAGTGCTCATTATGTCGTGCCAGATTGGGGCGCCGTAAAGTAATGTTGAAATCACCACGCTACCGATAACCTCCCTCTTGTTGCTGGTAGGTCCGCCGATGTTTGGCATAATTCTTGCTAACGATGCTGCTTTTTTGTCTGCTTTTGCTGTCGTTGCCCGAATATGCTCCCGAAAGTGGCCTCCTTCTTCTAAGTGAATTCCTAGGTACTTAACAGACTTCTTTGGTGTTACGGAAGTTCCCCTGCAGTTAAAAGTAATACCAGCTTTGCTCCGCTTCCCCTTTATGATGACAGCGTCTGTCTTCTGCGGTGCAAGTTCGAGGTGATGGGCCGTCATCCAGTTGTCCACTATCCTCAGGGCTAAATTTGCCGCATGCATAAGGGCCTCCTTATCCTGCGCTAGCACTATCACTGCCAAGTCGTCCGCGAACCCAGCGGCTTTTACACCATGTGGCCATTTACTCCTCAGTACCCCATCGTAGACCAAATTCCATAGAGTAGGGCTCAAGACTGAGCCCTGCGGTACACCGGATGTTATGTCTAAGGTCTCTTCTTTGGCTATCTGGAGTGACCTTCCACTGAGGTAGGCACCTACGAGATTTCGGAGGTATGGTGGTATTTTCCTTGTTTTCAGCTCCTCCATTATATTTTCCCACGGTAGCGAGTTGAATGCGTTTTTGACGTCGACTATGATGAGAACGCCCCATTTTTCCCTGCTGCCCTTAATGGTTTTAAGGACTTCGTCCACTGCCATCAACGTATTTCTACCTTTTCTGAAACCATACTGAAACTCTGATAGGCCACCCTTGTAATCGATTTCCTTCTGTAAGGTTAACCTACCTAATTGGCACATTCTTATGGCAGTAAGGAAGTTAATGAATTAATGTTTTTTTAGACCGAAACAGCCGCGCAAGCAAAAGCGTAAATGCCAGGCGACCGCGGCTGCTATAAGGATCCCAAAGAAACGTTGTTAATCAGATTTCTGAACTTCCAAAGGATAGTACAACTGGAAAAAGCCTCCTCTTGTAGATTATTCCACCCTCTCGACACCACATGTACAAAGGAGCGGTCGTATCTGTCAGTTCTGAATGTACGCAGTTCAACACGGTAAGGATGGGAGGCCGAAGTCAAGCGGGTAAGCCTGGCAGGCACATCGCGCAGCAGAAATCGGCTTGTCGCTCTTAATTCATATATGTAGAGTGCTGTCATTAGCAAAGCTGTGGATTGGATTGATCGTGTAGGAAAGGAGGTCGATGATATGTAAGAAGAACAGTGTCGAAGATAAGACTGATCCCTGGGGAACACACATTTCCGAAACGTGACATTACAACAACTTTTAAAATTCTATATATATGCATGTCAAAATGACAAATTCACATTTCGTCAATTGTAACTATAGATACGGACCTTTAGGGGAATTTTCGATACCTACCAGATAATTTTCACTAAAACTTTATCGTTGTCTAGGTAATGAGAAATTTTCGCTGTAATTTCGCGATAATTTCACATGTCTTATGGATGATTTTTTTGTACATGAGGGTAATTCGCGATTACAAGATAGGTGAAGGACGTAGGAGGTAGGTTGTAAATTAACCCGACAGCGGTCGCACCCCCAAAGTATATTAATCAGGTCACTGCGGGTCATAGTGACCCGCTAATGTTAGGCCCTATAAATTTAGTATAAACAATAAAATTTTGTGATGATTTTTTTAAATACTTTATTTGCGAAGGTACCTAAAGCATATAACCTAACATTGGTATAAAAAAACCTTAAAACCTAAAAGTTAGGTATCTTTCAAAAAAATAACTAAAAAAAGTTTTTTTTTGCATTGGTCGATTAATTTTTATTTCTAAAAAAAATCCTACTTTAAATAATGAAAAACATAAATCTAGTTTTTCTGCTAATACTAAATTAAAATATAAAACAAAAAATTTTTTCTGAAACCATTTATAAACTGTATTTATTGCGTGCCCATTTCTAAGGAGTATTTTTCAGACAATTCAGGCATGTAAGTTTGCCATGATATCCACAGATGTATGTTTTGCGAATCGCACAAGTGTGATAAGATTTGTTACCAGTTCTCGCACATAATTTACATCTCTTCTTTTTTCTTGAATCTTGTTCTGCTTGCTCCTCTTCAGCAGCAGCAGGTTCACCTTCCTGGAGAATTTCTATAATGTTGGTCCTGATAAACTTGGGAAGATTTGCAATTTGCAGTCGAGATCGCATGTATGGAGAAACAAGTTCCTTGGCTAACTCTTTGAGCCAAATTCTTCTCATCAAGCGCTGATCCCCTTTTTCATTGTACGATGATATGCCAAAACTATTGACCCCAACCACATCCAGAAGATGAAAAAAGGCTGAAAGGGGCCATCTGTTGGTTTTCCTGGCTGTTGAGTATGTGCCACACATCTCATCTACTACATCAACCCCACCCTTTGTGCAATTGTAAAATGTGATAATCTCTGGTTTTCGGGCGACACCACTATCAGGATCAATTGTTTTACCATGGTGCATAGTCGATAACAGAACAACAAACTTGCCCTTTTTTGGTACATATGATACCAGCGTTGTACTATTTTTTACAAAACCAAAAACAGACGAGCTTATCTCACGATCTTTGCTTTTTATAAAGCAAGGAGGGAGCTGAGGTTTATTTTTTCTGATGGTTCCTACAGTTGTCAAGTTATGTTGCTGCAACAGGTGGTGACTAAGTGGAACACGAACATGAGTAACATTTCGTCCACTTCCGCTTATTGGCGTTATTAGTCTCTTGACAACTTCATCAGGGGCTTGGCTTATTTGGTGAGGTCCTGGGGTTTGTTTACCCAAATAAAACTCCATATTCAGCACATAAAAAGTTTGAGCATCAACAAGCGAAAAAACTTTTAAACCATATTTCGCTGGTTTATTTCGCATATATTGACGAAAAGAGCAACGCCCTCGGAAACCCCATAACATTTCGTCTATAGTAGTATATTCAGCCACTGAAATTTTTTTTCTGCATTTTAAAAGAATATAATCAAACACTTCTCGTAGTGGGGCTAATTTATCTACTACAATTCTAGCTGCATGATCCCTTTTGTCATCGAATCGAAGAGCTCTAAGTAAAAATCTAAATCGCTGTTGAGACATCATGCATCTAAAAATTTGAACACCAGTTCCATCGTCACTTCATAATTCATCGGTGTGCAAATGAGATGATTTCAATACACCTGCATAGTACAAAAGTCCAAACAGAGCTTTTATCTCTTCCAAATTTGTGTTTTTCGCGTCTCTATCACGTTTGTATTTATCTCTTATAATACCAATATAAATATTTGTATATTCAACAATTTTTAGCAACAATTCATCAGCAAAAAAACACTTCCAAGCTTTCAGTGGCGTATCAGCTTGTCTAGCAGCGCCTTTGGTACCTGGTAAATGTGTAACAATATTTTGACGTCTCGTCCGAATTGACTGTGTTGGCTCAGCCTTCTTCCACTTAGTTTTGTCTTTGCCGTTATAAGATCCTCGATAGAGCAATGGAATGTCGTCTTCAGAAGTAGAACTATCACTTGCAGGATCATCCCCATTTTCATCATTACTCTGCTCAGTATCGGTATCTCTTTCGCCATCATCTCTACTCTCTTCTTCCGGATCTACATTGCTTCCAAGGTCACTCTCGTCCCCTCCCAGTTCTTCCTCGGTATCCACACCATAGAAATTTTTACATGGAATAGGATAAAAATTGCTTGTTCCCGGCGTGTCCATTTCCAAATTCTAATTAGAACAGCTAAAACAAAAATATTAAATGATATTATCGCTGCCAAAACAGTAGAAACTGTAGAAAGCTTGACGAAATAAAGTAAAGGCATATTTACACCCACAGTTTTTCCTAATGTTTTATTTCTGTAGGAAATAACGTATGAGTAGCATAGGAACAGAAAATCTGCAACAGTTTGTTCATTCATAAACCACGCTATCACTTTGTTTTTACGTTCTAAACTGCACAAGTAAACTGTCGCAAAAAACTGTGTGTAAACGTCCTTTAGTGCTTGAAATATTTACCTAAATCACCTTACTAAAAAAAATTGCAAAAATGGAATTATTATACTTACTTACATACCAAAATGCCGGTAATAAACAATAGAACCAAAAATAGTCACGTGTCACGGTGACCCGCAAGAGCTCCGTTCAAGTAGACAGCTCAATGTAAACGAAGCAACATGTACTGAGTTTTGTAGATAAGTAGTACATAGGAAGGTACCTAAGAGGCGAGCGATGTATCTTAACTAATACGGGAGAGGTAGGGCGTAGAAAATATGTGCGGGTCAGAGTGACCCGCAGCTACCGCTGTAGGGTTAAATTAACTCCCAATCTCACCTGTGTTTGCCTTGTACCAGGAAGGTTGTTGTTTTCCTCTGGCCTCCTTTGGGGTGGTATGGACGTCTTCACTTGTGGCCTTTGAGTGGTTGGCCGGTTAAAATTTTGTCCAGAAGCTGAGAAAGAAAGTCACAATCAATACTGGATTCGTACAAGTATGTTACCCACACCGTTAGACATGTCAGTCTTTAGCCTGTAGTTTTCGTTAGAGGAATGCTGTATCAATAGGCTATAGATTCGTACGTTAGCCAAGAAGGTAATTTCATACTGAAGAAGGTTCAAAATGTCATTTAGTCCTAACTAGCAGAGCCGTATTGAAACGTTGCCCGACGTGCATGTTAAACGCAGCTAAAAGAAATGTTTGTCATATAGAATGCAGAATATAAGCAAAGTGTCTCCAAGGTACCTCATAAAAAAGACAGTGTTCTGGCTGTATCAAAGAAAGATAAACTGAAGAATAAATAATAAAAAGATGTATACAGATATTTAATTGCGTAATGTGATGAGTTATCTGAGGTTTTGTCGCCTCAAGGGTCGTGATTCTAAGTGATAAATGATCCATACACTTTTCTATTTTCGTTACCTAGTCGAATTATCGCAAGCTCGACTTTTCAAGAAGAGAAAACAAAATTTTTACTAATCATTATTCCTCTCTTCTTGAACTCGTTGAAAAATATCAAACTCGTAAAACAACGTGCAGTCGAGAATCTTCTGCATATTTTGTTGCATAGAACCAGAGTCGTCAAAACTGTGTATCAATCCTTGTATCAGCCTCCTATATATTTCCACCTCCATAGACTTACAAAAATCCAGATAAAGCATCGCTCAGAATCTAAGTTAATGGAAGAGTAATTACTAGCGTAATATCATACAGAGTCTAATCATGTTATGATATTCCTTAAAGGATTCATTTCAGCGAAGCTAAATAAGCAGATAGAGCAGCACGAGGAAACTTTAGTTAATTTTTACCTTCCTGGGATGTTTCTCCATTAGCGGCCAACGAAGACAAAAATGGATTTCTGGATATCAATTCTGATATAGCTCTTTCTGCATCTAGAAACGCCGTAACATCAAAATATTTTTCATGTTATCAGAATTCATCAGTACAAATGATATTAGATGTAGCGTAGTTTACCTGATGAAGTTCCTCTTTTGTGTTACGATCCTTTGGTGATGAGTATTGTAGATTGTTCTGTATTCGTCGATCGTCATGTTTACCTAACCAATAAGATATATGTGGAATATATTTTCAAAACAACCGAATTATTCGTAGGTTATTATCTGTGTTAAGCTGTTTATTTAGGGAAAACGTTAGTGCTATAGTTTGTATTAGCGAGAAGCTAGCCAGATATCGTAGTAGTCTCATTTGGGCCCCTTGTAGTCACAGCTGAGCAGTGTACCGAAAACAGTGCCCTCGAGTTTTTTGCAAGATGTACTCAGCGAAAGTACTCACAATTGGATGAGTATGAGTACTACGAGTAGATTGGAATGCACTCAAATATACAGTGTGGCGCATCGAAAACGAAACAGACGCATTTACTGGCAGCTCAGTTTTTTTTTTGAAAAACTTCAGACCCGTCGATTTTGTTTTCGAGGGGGACACAAGTTTGGCAAAAATCACGTTAGCATGTGCAGCCCCCTAAGCGGTTGTGACACCGCCCCCAAAATCTTAAATGGAAAGGGTGGTCGAGTGATACCTTATTTTAAAGATCTTTCAATTCCCTCTATAGTGATATAAAATTAATGTACTTCAGTTCAGTAGTTTTGAAGATTTATTGATTTAAAGCTTAAATAAAATTAATACTTCATCATTAGTGGAGATCAATACATTTGGCAGCAAAGTAATTTTTAAAAATGAAGGATGACTAACCCGGTTAGGCAAGTAAATGTTGAAAATGGCCACCATGACTCTCCATGCAATAATAAATATTTTGCTCAAAACGTTGCCGCTCCAATAGCTATTTTCAACAACAAAATGATAAACAAACCATGAGCGTTGTGAAGAAAAGCATTTACTTATTAAGTAAATTCTTTTTGTCACATTTCTTCTGAAAGTAGTACTAACTAATCTGATGTACCTATTAAAGTCTACTTTAAGCTTTAAGTCAATAAATCCTCAAAACTACTGAACTGAAGCTCATGTATTTTACATCATTATAAAGGGAATTGAAAGACCTTTAAAATAAGATATCACTCGACCCCCCTTTCCATTTAAGATTTTAGGGTTGGTGTCACCCCCCGCCCAGGAGGCTGCACGTGTTAACCTGATTCTTTGCCAAACGTGTGTCCCCCTCTGAGCGTTTTTCCAGAAAAAACTGAGCTGCAAGTAAATGCGTTTGTTTCGTTTTCGATCCGCTACCCTGTATGAGTACAAGTACTTAATTATCGTAGTACCCGTAGTACTGAGTAGTAAGTACGAGTATCTTATAAATTATAAGCAGATGCAAAACAATGATCAGAACAAGGGGATTAGGAAGGATTAAAAAATTAGTATATGAGTACTTAAGCCTTTATTCCTCTACAAACTAAAATAAATAGATTCGGAAAAAAATCACCAACAAAGAAGCGTCAGACATTGAACATTTATAATTATTGTTTATAAAACATCCGTTCACCCCGTGTTGACGATGGTAAGGGTTATTTGAATAAATACACAGTTTCTAATTCCGCAGGATAGTCATTCAACTAGTTAGTCATGTTTTGAATCCTCTATACATCTGAGATATCGAGTTTCACCATGTCTACTTTCGCCATTCCGATACCACCAGCCCCAGACCCAGACTCTCTAGGTTCAGCTTGGTTAGCTATGTTACATTGTTGTCTGCAACATCGACATCGAAAAAATTGGCCGTATGTAAAATGTCTTCTTTTTGAATTATACGTTCAGATGCTTTCAAGAAATTGGCGCCTTTATCGTTTATTAGTTACCAATTTTTATAAACAGTTGGAGAAATACGTGACCACTGATTTCGGTTGCCACGTGTGTCAATTGTCACTGGAAGGGTGGAGGTACTCGTACTCAGTCCTCATAAATTTTGTAAACAGTACTCGAGTACCGGCCTCGGCACTTGGTTTGCCGTAATCTGTTATTACAAAAAACGTCGGAAATGCATAACGGTAAAACTGAAAATTTGATCCTCAAATGCTTAACCGTGTCT